TTGAAGCCATTTTGTCGACTGTTCAGATACGATCGCAAAAAGGTGTATTGTTTTCAGGCCTTGTGCTGCATACTTAGTTTGGCTACAAAGAGAAAACTAAACGCTTTGATGAGGCCACGATGCGGGCAGTGTGGGAGTGGATCTGTTCGAGGGTGACATCAAACTGTACCTTGCCAATGTGGACTATGAGTGTATGGATGGAGCTAGATCCGTTAGGATCCAGTGACCCGGCGTCCATGATTGCCAAGCTCTAATAGTCATTTTGCACGATGTGACATCCTGTAAATGATCAACAGTGAGAATGGCCTTCAGCTTATTTCAACATTTTCCGAGCTTTCAGTTCCACGTAGGGTGTGAACCGCCGCCCTGTGTCCTCGTTCCACAGACAGGTGAACTATAAAGCGGAGTCTGCCATCAATATTGATAAAACGCTGATGAAAAGCCATTTCCCAAGACATCATGTCTTTCAGGCTGTCCTTGGGCTACGTCACAGCATGCGACAATGAGGCAGTAAACTGCGCCTAGGTTCTGTTCGGTAGATGGACCAGAAACAACATTTCGTACACCAACGCCTCTCTGTAGCAAACGTCCGCAGTCTCGCTGGCAGAAATGCACAAGACGCTGTAGGCGAGCCATCGCCACCGGCCGTCGAGAGGTCTGCCCACTCTGCAGTCCAAGCAGCGCGTTTGCGTGGCCCCTTAGCCGGCCAGGTGGACAACGATGAGCGAAGCTGTAGTGGCCGCGCAACACGGCGACCGCCCTCATCAGGTGGATGAGCAAGGCGCTGCGCTTCGCAGAAGCTTTTGTCGATCTGCAGGTTACGGGCCCGGCGAATGCCGCAGCCCCCCCCCCCCCCCCCCCCCCCCAGCCGCGAACGCTGTATCGCTCCTCGAGGCCGCTACTGATCTCGTCCAGAGGATCGGCAGCCTCCGAGTGCACCGCCAACCCGTGCGTGCGCGCGCACCTGTGGCGTGTAGAGGCGCATGATAGCGAAGCGGCCTCGCGTGCCGTCGTCTCGCCGTATGACAACATGTTGCTGACGCCACCGCCATGTCGATCGAGTCATGAGGTCCGACCGCTGATCAGGATGCCTTGCAAATGTTGTCAGATATCGGTTGAGCTCTCCAGCAGCGTGCTCCGGCTATTTTGCTCATCTGTGACACTTCTACCGTGCGACTAACGTGACTCTGCTGTTTGCGGCCTTAATTGGCGGTTTGATTTGTTGACCGCAGCTTCATGATTGACGCACGGTCGGTACTATTTGTTTTATGCCAATGCTGATCTGCTTTTGATAAAGAAGCTTCTTAAACAGTTGGAACCGTTGCTAACGTGGACCGGCATTGGCTCACAACTTGATGGCGTTACGTTTGATAATGCCGACCAGCTGTGCCGCTCAATGAGGAGGCGACGTCGCACGGCCCTGCTCGGTCTTACGCTCAGCTGGTCGCCTGCTTGGTTGGATGTATCTGCTGTTTCTGTTGACGGAATCTGATTGTCTTTGAACCGAACACGTCTTAACGGATAAGACCTCCCCTGTTAAATGGACAAAGCACACACAGGTCTTCGAGCGAGATCTTCTACACAGACCATGTGCAGAACCAAACAAGTCTTCTTGGGAGCTGTTTCATCTTGCTGCCACCCATCTGACCCGTATGGACCTTCAGCACAGGAGAGAAAAAAAACTACCGATTTAAAGGATCCGTGATAAAAATGTAAAATGTTGCAAGTTATCGGGTAAGAAAATTTGCCAAAATGGCAAGAAGTTACAACAGACTATCCCAGTTAGACGGCACTCAAAGCTTCACCTTTGTCTGTACTCGCAAACGCTTGCAGCGTAAGCTTGTGAAGAGCACATGTCGAAACATCGACGGTTCGCTGTATGAGCAGGTTGAGCCAGAAAGTGCTGCCAGACATTGAGGCTTGCAGAGAGTGTGTCTAGTGTTTTCGATTTTCCAGATACACGTATATAGGAGTTTTGCCACTATATATAGTTAACTTCGGAGCTTAAATGTGCATTTGGGTCTTGCAACAGTTTTGCGTAATTATTATTATCGGTCGCATCGATGGAAGTGCGCGAACAAATACCATGCTTAAAATTGAACCAATCAGGGGGCAAAATGACGACTGCATCGGCTTATACGTGGCAAGTACTGCGCGCTAGTGACATGGCCATTATCTTGGCTGCTACGTTCTCGTCCGCATAGGGAAAGCGCTGGCGATATAGGCTGGTACGCACTTGACGATCTCTTGCTTAGTTCGAGACGGAAAAATATGGTAGCCTGAAAATGCCTGGTGTACCAGCGATATCGCAGCAACGATTTCAGCGCATGCTCCTTGTTATTTCGAACGGTGAATTCGGTGCATGTGCATTTTGAATTCGGTCGTTAATTTCAGGGTGTAGAAATCTTAGCCGCCTATTGCCGCTGCCAAAACAACGTAGAACAATCGCATCTCCATAGAATTTAGTGCAGCCGATTTACACGACACAATACGTGTGCCTCATCTCAGTATAAAGTAGGTCAGCATGAATTAATCGCGGTGCGTATCAACTGACTAGCATTACCAGGCGTCCAACCCCGTACACCAGCAGCCCTCAGCTGAATGTATACAAAAAAGAAAAAGATCAACGATGGCCGCCGCCATCGCTACGTTCGCAAGCTGCTGTCAACGCTAACAAGCGACTTCCTCGAAAAGGCATTGGCTACAGCTAACGATACGTTCTCAATGACATCGACATGCTTAGTTGTGAAAATTGCTTGGGGTGTACCCGATAACATCGTTCTTCCATACAAACCAAAGCAGTGGAGGCAAATTGGTGACACAACAAAATGAATCCCCTATGCACCTATGTTGGCATGGGGGATTCTCTTTCAGACTGCATATAGTCCTTTCCCTTATGGTTGCTTTCGCGTTTCAGAACAGGTGGGTGGTGTCATATCTATGCTGGAAGCGCATCGAAATGAAACAGCTCCGGAAAACGTCAAGAACTTGCATGCCCACTCCAGCGTGTGGCGTGGCTGGTAACGAGATAGCGCAATAGAAAGAGCCCTGAACGCATGCCCACTAGAAGGGCAGACCATATCGGTTCGTGACCCAGAAATCGAGCTTGGTTTTCCACGCGTCACGGTCAGTTAAAGTCAGACTGCCAATTAGGCGATCGTATTTCAATACGTTTTACGGTTTCAGATGTCCTTTAGGCTGCAGTTTTCCACTTTGGTGGTGGGGTCAGGGTTGACGCTGCTAACTGTTTATTGTAAGGATTTTGATCCACAGCCATCACTACAAAACGTCCGGTAAAAAATTGTTTTTGCAAACGCACTGCGCTTTTAGTCAAGACATTATGTATTTCGTTCCGATTGCTCAGTTTGTTTGAGCCCGTCGTTCTATCCACTCACGCGTGACGGGGTAAGTTCGAGTCACTTTAAGCGCTCGCTATTTGCACCTGACCGGAATGGCCTGCGGCCGGTGGCAGCGGCCACGTTAAAGGTCAGGTGGAGGCAAACGGTTTTGTAAACTTTCGCCGCCAAGTTCTGCCCATAACCTGGAATATCACGGAAGCATGATAACGGCCAGGGCTGACGCGACATGCAATGCTTGCCGTCATTTACGGTCCTTAACATCCACCCTTTCAACAGGTCTGGAAAACATTTCGTTAAAAATGCTTAATGTATGGATATGAAGACAGCGTTTCCGAACCCCGGGTCATTTCCTCAGTTAAAAAGACACGAAGCAAGAAGGATGACGGCATATATTGTTTCACGCAATCTTTTTTGACAGAGAGATCCAGATCGGTAGCCACCGCACACTTTGAACATAACATCACAATGACAATCACTCCCAGCCCCTGCGAAAAGGACTGCATACATCCGGATAGTCACCTCGCATTTCCTCGAGAGTTCAGTGTCTTCCCCAACATTCTCGGGTGGGTCTCGGTCCGTCCCCCTCCACGATGCTGATGAACATCTAAGCCGGCTCCCCACGATTTCTCCCAATCTAGCATTCGAGCCCACGGTGACTTTTCTTCTGCCCATTTCTGCCCGGTCTTCATATGTGCTCGTGATGACCCCGCCGTTCGTCCTCCAAACGCTCACGTCTGTTTTCCCAGCTGATCTTCCAATTCGTTCAAGATGTTTATTTACGTGCACGGAAGAGGCCATCCCTTTTCCTCGCTTCTCCAGGGCCCAACATGGATCCCATGTCGGCTATGGAACCAGCATAACACTTATGACGCTTTCACGATGACATTGTTAGATGGGGAATAAATTCGGCACCAAATCTGAAAATGAAAAACGCGAATGCACGAAAAATGAACTAGGGAGGAGCGAAGCCCGCGGTTTGACGTCAGAGCTATCAAGACCGCCGTAAATTCTTAAATATGATTTTCATCACGTGCCTTTTCATCACTTAACGCATGCGTTGCTCTATGGGTTGGTTCCCATGGAATCAAATACACAAACGTAAAATGATTACATGGTACCTGATAGCGAAACAAGAACGTTTACGGAGTAACAATTACATATTGTTTTGAGGGACCTGGTGACTGCCGATTGATTTCGTCCCTGTCCTTCCTATTTTCTTTACACTTCAGATTTGGCACCAAATCGGGCGCCTGACTAATAATCTCATCGTGAAAAGACGCAACGTATCCCGGTCGACGCACGATGCCAGCGGCCTGACAGCCTCCTGCCCCGACTCGTGGCGCCGCGCGCGCCACGAGTCGGGGCCAGCCTCTGGACCTCCGATGACGTCATCGTGTCACGTGACGTGATCAGAGCGTCTACACAGTGCGTAGGTCGGGACAATCCTTGGGTGGACGCTGTGCACCGAGCAGAATGCGCGATGCTCGTTAGTCGTGATTGAACACAGAGGAAGGGGAGTGAAAATTTAAAGAAGAAAAGCTGACAGGCAGCGCCAGAAAACTGCCTTAGCCAGTTTTGACGTTTAAAAGTGTGCCAAATGTCATGAAAAATGTGCCTGAGAACTCTTTGCATGTGAACAAAACTCAGAACAACTGAGTTTAAATGAGAGAGGTCTTGCTGACTCGAAGTCACATTAAAGCTGCGAGAAAGGTTTGAATTATGACGAGCACCAGCGCTAATTGAAACTAGATTCCTAGAGGCATTCGGATTTGATAAAAGCGTGAAGAACGTGCGTTTATCCATTTCCTCAAGGACTTGTTTCATGCTTATGATAAACTGCAATCAGCAGAAAGAAAAATCAAAATGTCTTCCATCAGATAATTTCCGGGGATAATATGCCTGCGGAGTTCTTGTTCCAACCAGCATGGGTGTCAAAGTCTAATCCATCAGTAAAGAGACCATAGTCACATAGGCAAGCGCAAGAGTTCACGTGCATCGGGTCTCCCCAGAGGAAACAAAACTGAACTAAATATCTATCATAGCACATTTCTCTGCCAGCAAGCTCCTCCTCCCTGCAAGCTGCCAGCAAGCTCCTCCCCGCGCTGGTACGGTGGTAGGGTCAGACTGTGACCCTCCATCCACCCGCCCTGCGCGACGGCGCCAGGTCGCGCCGAAAGGCCGGCGACACTGTCGGCTGACCGGCCCGGCCTCTGGAGGTCTCGCCATCGGCGCTGCCGTCAACACAGGGCGCCCTCTCCGCCAGCCGCCCTCGCGCCCGGCGCCGGCCGCTTCCGCCGCGCTCAGTACCGCAGCTCGTGGATGACGTCACCCAACGACGTCACCGTGCGCCACCTCCGAACGCGCGTGCTGCGCTTACCGAACCTGCAAAACCGGGTCAGCTGATTAGGCGGGTGTCGACGAACCGCGTTCGCGCATCCAGCCGACATGTAAAGCGGCACGGCTGTTCGCGGAAGACGCGGCGGGATAATTAAACCGGCGAGCGCCGACACGACAGGCGACACGGTCCGTTGCGCGCCCCCTCGATCGGCTCCAGATGCGCGCTGATTATAGCCCGCTAAGTAGCCGCGAGCACGAAATCATGCTCCTCCGAGCCCGTAATGACGGGACTAAACTTGGGGCTGCTCTCAGCGGCGGCCGATCGCGGGGGCTGCGGACGGCCCCTGGGAAGCCAGGAGTTGCCCGGTCTCAGCCCAGGGGGCTTGGCCAATAACTGCGCGGTCGACAATGCATAAATCATGGCCGCCGCACCCAGCGGGACTCAGCGCCGGTGGACCACCGCACGCGTGACCGGCAACCCATCAGGCGCTAATTTCCGCGGATTACCCAGACGGATGTCACAACGGCGGCGCGCACGGCATGGGGCAAACGTCACCCCTTGGCGACGCACGTGGCGCTCACATCTCGCCCTGCTGGAGACAGCTTGTCTGTGTCTACCGTTTATATGGCCGGCGGTGAGCTGAAGGGGTGCTAGCGTTGTTTGCAACGAGTGGGAAGCGGTCGGCAGCTCGCCGAAGTGCTCGGAAAAACGCAAAGTCGCATCAAACCGTAGCCAAGTGGTACTAACGCAATCCAAATTGGGCGCAGTGATGACACCAACGACAAATTGTCTCGATTATGGCCAAGGACCTTTGGGTTTAGTTTAACTAAATTGCAGCATGCTTGTGAGCTGAAGGATATTTGACCAGCATTCGCGCCAGACACCCATATTTTACATGGAAGCGTGACTGCATTTGAAAGAGGCAGCGCTGCCACATTGGGGCTTCAGCAATCTTGTGATGTTTTACTGGATTCGGATTGTGTGACTCACTTAGTAGTACTGCAGCCTCAACTTTGATTCGTGGTCTTAAACACAATGTCGTGGAGCGGGTGCAGACGTGTTATTCTCAAACCTTCGACCTGTGAGAACTTAGCAGAGCGGGGGAGGCCTGTGTAGTTAGTTTAACGTATATCTTATCATATCTGCGCGGTATGTTTATTGAAATATGGTTATTGGTGGTGGGCTGAAACACTGTTGGAAAGCTGTTGCTAGTCACAGGTATTTGAGAACGACGTGAATAAGTTGAAACTATACGTTACATAAGGTATCTTTCCCGTTACGGCACGCTAACGCTGGTCAGCTCGAAGGCTTTGCTTGCCGGGGTTTCGTGCCAATCTGGCATCACTTTGGTTTGCTATGCTGTGTGAACTCGGCTATCAACTGCACTGGCCCAATGCCTGACAAGTCAATCGCATGCAATGTTCGACGATGATGGCTTCATCATGATCGAGTTGTTATCAGTTGCTTCCTCGATTGTGCTCTGTCTCCGGGGAGCAGAACTTCATAAATTCCATAAGAGGTCATGGTCAATACGTCGTAAGATCTGTCAGATGAACAAACCGTATCTGACGGAAATTTTTAGTGGCTCCTGGGATCAATATATCGCGTTTCCGCGGTAGTTGCAAAGATAGTTGTCTCTGTCGGGTCGTATCTTTCGCGAAACCATGACGCTACCTTTTTCAAACAGGTTCACGCTCAATCATGCTGTGCCCATGTCCATCGAACGAGACTTTACCAAGTTATATGGGATGCCAGGAGTCTGCGCGTTGGCAAGGCTAAATCAAAGGTGAGGTCATGGCCCGAGAACAACTGCAACGGTAGATTGGTTGGTCTGCTGTATTGCATTCGCTGTATTTGCTGGTTTTCGTCGGCTTGCTGTATTGCATTCGCTGTATTTGCCGGTTTTCGTCGGTTTGCTGTATTGTATTGTATTCGCATGTATTTGATTAATTCAGTTCAAGGTGCATACACACCATCAAGAGAGATAAAAGGATGCCTTGCAAAACGCTTTTTGATGCACAGCGGTCGCTCCAAAACGTTCGGAATCCAATGCTTGCTTGCTTGTGTGTGTGCGCGTATGCGCATGCTTACGTAAGCACGCGTGTGCGCGTGTGCAAGCGTGCTCGCACGTACGATGTGTGCGCCAGTGTGTGACCTAGCTTCCGAGCACGTTGGGCCGAAACGCGCAGACAGACCGCGGCACGATCGGCATCAGCTGGTGCGCCGGCTCCGTGGGAAAGGCCCCGGCTCTCGAGTCAGTTTCGAATCGATCAACAGCGCGTGGCACGTCCCGCCTGTAATTGGTCGGGTCTCTGCAGAACTCGCTTATCAGGTGCAGTAGTCAAATGAATTGTGTCATTGGCCCAAGGCCGCGTGGCAACATGGGGTCATGCCAGGGTGCGTACTTTTGTGATCGGCAGCCGTGTGCGGTTGATGTAGCCTGCGGGAGCGTGCCGAAATTTGTGGCCGCCGAATTGTTTTGTGGTTGAGATCAGATCGAGGTGGCGAGATCTGCCGCCTCGCATGTGAGGCCGATCAAAACTGGCACCGCTCTGCCACTGCCGCCTTGCTACGAGCTATAGTGTACGGGACGCCGTAATAAGTTGCACCCCTCGGGCACCGCTCTGCCACTGTCGCCTTGCTACGAGGTAAAGTGTTCGGGACGCCGCAATAAGTTGCACCCCTCTCCCACGCGGTCTTCCCAATCAGTAGACTTAAAAGCTAGTAACTACATGTGCCAAACTTGAATTTCTTCGTTGACGAGGGCGCTGCCTACACATACCGATATTAAGGTCAACAGTGACAGAATAAGACTTGCGTGCGCGGGCAACAAGTCAGACTTGGAGTACTCCGAGTCGCGGAAGCCATGGCACTGATACCTATAAGTTGGTAGTGAAAGAAGTGCTCACGCAAGCCAGCGTGTCACAATCATGGACAAGTCCAGCTAACTTCTTTCTTCGATATAGAAGTACTCCATGCCTGGTTTTGGGGCAAATTGTGCAAGCACAACATAACGCACTTCCGACCTATCGCAAAATAATGGGTATGCGACATATCACTTAAAACAAACCTTAAAAGAGAGCCTGGTGCGTTCAGGAGTGAAGCATCACCATCAGGAACCGCGACGATTGATGATGTCTCAGACCATGATTGGTATTCACGATTATTTTTTTTAAAAAGACTGAAATCGCCTCCGAGTTTTGTTGTTACCGAACTGCTCTCTCAGCCTCCAGGTGCGGTTAATGTGACGCACCTAGCTTATTCCAACTGGAGTTGTTCAACATAAAGAGCTTTTGAACAAGGCGTAGCTTTGTGAACATATCTGCAAAGAGACGTGAACGCTAGACGGCATCGAGGCATCTGGCGTCTCATGGTGGTATGTGTTGGGCTCTTCGTATCTTTAAAGCGTTAACATAATATATGGTTAAAAGGGTATAACTGAAGACGCAAGAGCCTAACTGACGCCAGACGAAGTTTTTTTTGTACTTGGTTAGATCGTGTTCCCAAAGTTGCAACGCCCCTTTTCCCAATCATTCTCTGGATCCGCCTCTGGAAGGGCCGTTACGTGGCACCGGGCGACGTACCGCGGCCGGCCTAGCTTGGTGTAGAAGTCCTTCAGGTCGCTGAGGTAAGAGTCGAGCTCTCCGGAGAGAACGTCGGTGCCGACTGCCGAGCGGCCGGCCCTGCCATCGGAGGCGGCCACCCAGCACTGCAGCGTGAGCACCGCGGCCAGCACCAGCGCCAGCAGCAGCCGCATACCGATCGACTGTGGACAGAGAGCAGCTTCAGGCACAGCGCACGTGGCAGAAGGAGCAGCAAACGTGACAGGAGGAGCAGCACACGTGACAGGAGGAGCAGCGCACGTGACAGGAGGAGCAGCACACGTGACAGGAGGAGCGGCACACGTGACAAGAGGAGCAGCTCACGTGACAGGAGGAGCAGCACACGCGACAGGAGGAGCAGCACACGTGACAGGAGGAGCAGCACACGTGACAGGAGGAGCAGCACACGTGACATGAGGAGCAGCACACGCGACAGGAGGAGCAGCACACGTGACAGGAGGAGCAGCACACGTAACAGGAGGAGCAGCACACGTGACATGAGGAGCAGCACACGCGACAGGAGGAGCAGCACACGTGACAGGAGGAGCAGCACACGTGACAGGAGGAGCAGCACACGTGACAGGAGGAGCAGCACACGTGACAGGAGGAGCAGCGCACGTGATAGGAGGAGCAGCACACGTGACAGGAAGAACAGCGCACGTGACAGGGGGAGCAACCGCATAACCCTCGGCTGTGGGCAGCGGACAGCGCCAAGGGCAGCAGCTGTGGACAGCAGTTAGTGCCAGTGGTAGTAGCAGGCTAGTACCGACTGTCCCATCGAAAAGGAACAGGGAGAGCCCGGCGCTGTGACATCGCTGGCGCATGAAACTATGCCGGGGGCAGCACTGTGGGTAGTAGACAATGTCAGGGGCGGCAGCAGACGTCTTTGGTTGCGGACAGCAGTAAGTGCCAGAAAGTTGCAGCGAAAGTGACAGAAAAGAGAGCAGTACAATCGACAGCTTGTTTTTTTAAAGGTGGGCAGTATCAGCGCCAGCACAGTGAACCGTGTAAAGGCTTCCACAATGGGCGGGAATAGCCAGTACACCGCATCAAAAATTATACAGCTAAGACGGACCGGCGCAACAGCATGCCGTTCGTCAGTGAAAGCCACGGCGGATTGTACAAGGGACGCCAGAACACACAGGGTCAGCAGCGCACGACGGCGAGACAGCACAATAGGTGAGAGGGAGACCATAACTCGGTGCTGTCGCTTACACATTGAACTATACAGTAGATTGCGCCGCGGGCGCTGGCAACAGCGATTTCATGCCACTTGTTGGTACACACGCAGCGTGTTAACAACACAACGAGCCGAGCAGGAAGCTGCACCGTGAACGATGCGAGGGAGCTAGAAGTCGCACAGATCAGTTCTAGGAGTCACAGGGAGTTACATAGGCCAGGACCGACAACAGATGCTTATTGTTCGTCTGTGAACGCTACCAGAAATTACAGCTATAGGGATAACCAGTATCCAGAGCAGCTGCAGAGCTAAGACGGTAAGAAGGCATTCGTCTATGGACAGTGGGCGATGTCCGGTACGACAGGAACCAGAGGTAATGGGGAGTATGCTCTAGGCTAACACCACCGAGTGGAGGGGTCAGTCATTTGACTGTATCAAATGAGCTTAATGTGCCTTAGGAACCCGTACAAATTTTACACTGTTTTTATCTTACAGGTCCAATCGAAGTTGCAGTGTGTCTCTATAGATGCCCTCGGCACCACCTCAGGGAAACGACGCATTCAGTTATCGATCTCGCATGAAGAAGATACGAAGCTGGAAGCAGACGGCTTTGTAGACGGTGAGCGCTGGAGGGAGGGTCTCAGGCGGGTATACTGAAGGGAAGGGTTCAGAGCAGGTGCGCTGAAGGGAAGGGTTCAGAGCAGGTGCGCTGATGGGAAGGGTTCAGAGCAGGTGCGCTGAAGGGAAGGGTTCAGAGCAGGTGCGCTGAAGGGAAGGGTTCAGAGCAGGTGCGCTGAAGGGAAGGGTTCAGAGCAGGTGCGCTGAAGGGAAGGGTTCAGAGCAGGTGCGCTGAAGGGAAGGGTTCAGAGCAGGTGCGCTGAAAGGAAGAGTTCAGAGCAGGTGCGCTGATGGGAAGGGTTCAGAGCAGGTACGCTGAAGGGAAGGCTTCAAAGCAGGTGCGCTCAAGTTTGATGTCATTGTAGGCATAAAACTACCACTACTAATGGTAGCCATCAGCGTCGCGGTAGTTTTAAAGGTAATGGCGACGGGATAGCGCCTCGTGCGGTTACCACAAAACGCCATACATCCGGAGCTCAATTACTTCAAGGAGCGGAGCTCCTCGCATTTAACCGGCCATTAAAAGTAAGTACCGACGAAGGCCACGTTCAGTGCAGGAAATCCGATTTGGAACCGTTGTTTAATTAGTTCAATGAAGGGTGATATGTTATAAAGGTTCTCGGGTCCAACTACTGCTGAGCCGCCGGAGCTTTGATATCGGTGGGACATGCTACGGAAGCTCTTAAGCCGAGATTGTTCCTGAAAGCAGGAAATCCTTTTCTCAGCAGCAGATATGTTCGTAAGGTCAAAATGTGTAACGAGGGAGACTTTCACATCCGACCCAACCTAGCCTGACCACACAATCACACGCCACCAAGCCACATATTCCCCAATAAAGTGCAGGAAGGGGATCGGTCGGGCTTCATCGGTGAACGACACCAGGGGAGATCCCTGCCGCGCGCCAGCCACCGCAGGCAAGACGTGTGCGTCTGGCGTGACGCAGCCCAGCCGGCACTCCGTTGGTGATATCTTAACATTCATCAGTTTCCCGATGGTCCACTGGTGCGCCATAGCGGGGTTATTTAAAGACGGTAGTGCTCGGCTCTTTCGTGCCAAATACCAAGCACTTCTGAAGACGGGGACACTATTTGTTAGCGATGGATCGCGCCCGTTAGCTATGGAAAGCAGGTATTTGGCACATGTGAAAACGTGAAGATTTTCCGTTTAACAATGATAAGATTTTACATTAATTTTTAGAGTAAAGATCTTTTAAAGAAAAAATAATATCCATGAACTCCAATTTTGAGACCAGAGCATGCTGATAACTAAGTTTCGGAAAAATAATTAGGCAATAATTGAGAAAATTCAGGTGCCACAAGGGTGCTGATCCCCTTGCAGGTTAAGGAAGCAATCATTATATCGGGAAAGGCGGCTAAAATGGACTTTCCTTCACTATAGAGCTTCGTCGCGAAGACTTTCGGCTCACCTAAAGTATCGTTCAAACCCAAATTCCAGCTACGCACGCACCGTGACGCAGACTGGCAAGTGGCAAAGAAAGTCCTGAAATTTCCTCTTCATTACACAAGGAAACGCGACACACGTTATCGCGCAATCCATTTAAGGACCGTCGGCGACTGTATAGCGCAATGAGACTAGGACTAAGAGAGCAGAGTGCCAGAGGCTCGGGGGTCATGTTGCAAAGGGATATCAAAGCCCCTCCCCCCTCATACGTTGGAACAGGAGGTGCATACTGTGTCGACAAATTCCTGAACTACTCACCCTAAAACAATCGCCCAGATTTCGTTGATAATGTAGGGAGAAACCAACGTGCTGCGAAATCGAACGAACGAAAAAAAACAGCCTGAAGTTATACAAATGGCTCTACTGCCATCTATCGTGCATGGAGCTCTAAACCACATTTATCCTCAAAGGGGTTAAAGCCATCGAAAATCTGTCGTACCTCATTCCATCGTGAGAACCATAATTCAAAATTTATTCCAAAACGACAGTTTATCTAGTATGGAGCTCAAATGGGAAAAAACCCACATGACGTGATGAACCGGAACATTGTCTTGATCTTAACTGCTACCACCTTTACATACATCGTCACAGATTTGTTCCGCCCTGAATTCTACCTCCAAGCATGTTGCTCTATTCGTGACCAAGAGCATGCAGTTACTTCTGGCAGTCTAAGCGAACGTGACACCACTTCAAGTTGACTCAACCTTCGGTTCGCCACGTCCTGTGGTGTTTTTTGCGATAACTCCTACGCATTTTCAATCAAGTACCAAGTTTATAGTAGGAATACACTTAGGATGAAACGAGTGACAGGGAAATGTCGACATTTTTAGACCTGTCACGACTCGCTTGGGTCAGACGCTATGGTATGGGGTACCGATATAGTGCTGCTGTGTGATAGTTAAAAGAGGCTGCCGCAGGTTCCATGCCAAAGCCACCACTTTGAAGACATTTTGCAGGGAATGGGCGAAGGTTTTCCCGAAAGAAAGACATATACATCGATAAAAGGAATTCCTATGTAACTAACTAGAGCCAAGGTGGGGTGAACTTATTCAGTGTGTGCACAAGAGGGCGCTGTTTAGCACTGCCGTCATTTCAGTGCTAGGTGGGTAGCTGAAGATGCCTTCGAGGCTGGTTTATAAGCGACATTGCCGGACGCGCCGGCGAGTAATCGTCAAATGCTAGCGGTGGGCGTAACCATCGACCAGAGGGGACCTCCAAACCACTCCGGCCGTTGGGTGCACCAGCATGGCTCGTGGGCGCGTGGTACGGGCACGTCCTTGACGAGTGATCGATCCCGTACTGTCTCTCCTCAGTGGAGCAGCGGCCTCGCTGCAGGCGCACGACATCAGCCGCTCGACGGTATTGGCCGTGCCTGCGTCCGTGGCATCCGCACGTGCTGCACGTGCAACACGTGCAGCTGGCAACGGTCACAGCGAGGGCCCCCTGCTAAGCATCGGACGCCGAAAAATCAGCATGACATGTGCACGGTGGAGGGTTCTGATTGTTTGCTTCGCGCTCTACGTCGCGCGGCGTTGTTGCATCACAACATTTCCCGGTCGCTTTCCACCCCGTGTTTTATAAAGCCACGCCAGTCCGTCATAGGCCACTGAGTCGCGCGTATAACCCTCGTGGCAGCCGTTAATGGTGGAGTGTATCAGCTCGTCACAGATTGCGCTCCTTTACTGGGCCGTAACGCTGAGCCGTTGAGCCAGTCGAGAGGTGATGCACCGGTTCCGCGCCACATGGAAGAGAACCGCATTGGCCGTGGTATCTTCCTCGTGCGAACGAGACGCTCATAGTTCTACGTGAATCCGGTCCCCGCGTGGTGATTACCCCACCTTGGACGCCGAGAAGCGTCGGGTGTCCTTCCGAATAAAGCTGGGACTTAAGACAACTGAATATATC